TACTGATTTCATCAAGCCTAGCTATTTTGGGTCTGAGATCTCTGATAGTGGGGATCAACCTGATGCAGAAAAAGTATTAGATGACTCTACTGTAAATCTGAATGAGAGTGATCATACTCCGGTTGCATCTGTATTAAGTGATGCTGAAACTGATGATGTACTTGCAGTTCCTGTACAACAGGTTGAGAATGAACCAGGTACAATGATGAGGGTTAGACGCCCACCATTGTGGTTGCAGGATTATGAAACTAATTTCATGACTGTTGAAAGTTTTGTTGACAACTGTCCAGATTCATATTCAAGTGCTGTTAGAGGACCTGATAAAAATAATTGGAAAAGGGCAATGAAAGAGGAGTATGATGCACTCATTCAGAATAATACATGGAATCTAGTAGAGCTGCCCAAAGGTAAGAAAGCTATCTCATGTAAGTGGGTGTATGTAGTTAAAAAGGACTTACAGAGTGATCCCAAATACAAGGCACGCTTAGTTGCTAGAGGTTTTTCTCAAATTGATGGGATTGACTATAATGAGACTTATTCACCAGTTGTTGGAAGGTCTGTAATAAGATTTTTGTTAGCCTTGACTGTTGAGTTAAATTTGAAGATGTATAGTCTTGATATTTGCACAGCCTTCTTGAATGGAGAATTAGAAGAAGAAATATACATGACTCAGCCTGAGGGTTTTACTGTTGAAGGATTGGAAAATAAAGTTTGTCTATTAAACAAAGCTTTGTATGGATTGAAGCAAGCTTCACGTACATGGAATACTACTATTACTAAAGAGTTGGTAACTCTTGGTTATGAAGTTTCTGTTAATGAGCCATGTATGTTTTACAGAAAGATGGATGATTCATTTACTGTTTTAGCATTATATGTTGATGATTTCTTAATTGTAACCAATGATATCTCTGAAAAAGAAAGACTTGTAAAGAAACTAGGATCTAAGTTCAGATTAAAAGATCTTGGAGAAACTAAGTACTTGTTAGGTATGAGAATTAGGAAAAGGAATGGAAGTATTTATGTAGATCAAGAGGAATACATATGCAAGATACTGGAAAAGTTTGCCATGATAAACTGTAAAAATGTATCTACACCTCTTCCTGCTGGTTGTAAGCTAGACAGAAACAATTCTGATAAGTTAAGTGAGATTTTCTCTTATCAAAGTTTGGTTGGCTGCCTCAATTACTTAGCTCTTATAGCAAGACCTGACATTGCTTTTGCAGCCAGTTTCCTAGGTCAATACAATTCTTGTGCCACGGCTGAACATTGGAAATGTGCCAAGCATGTATTGCGTTATCTAAGAAAAACTAAGGACCTGTGTTTGGTGTATTCTAAGACAGGAAAATCCATTGTTGGGTACTCTGACTCAGATTATGCTAATGGAGAAGATAGGAAGTCTTACTCGGGAAACATTTTTGAATTAGCAAATGGACCTATTTCTTGGGAGGCAAAGAAGCAGAAAAGTGTTGCACTTTCTACTACTGAGTCTGAATATATTGCTCTAAGTGAGGCTTGTAAGGAGGGTGTCTTTCTCAGAAAAATGTTGATGGAACTATTAAATGATGACTCTCCAATTTTGATGAATGTTGACAATCAAAGTTGTATCAAGTTAGCCTCAAATCCAGTATTTCATTCCAGATGTAAACACATCGATGTACGATATCATTATGTAAGAGAGGTAGTACAGAATGGATTGATTGATCTTGAATATGTGCCTACAGAAATTATGAAGGCCGATATAATGACGAAGAGTTTACCTAAGGTGAAGCATGAATATTTGCTAGATGCATTGGGCATGAAACCTTTTGATTGTATAAATTGAATTTATGTGCCCATGTGATTGTACCATAATATTTTGGTTATTATTATTATTTAATTTACATGCTATGATTATGGGGGAATGTTGGTAATACTAATATACGCATGTCGTACAATCTGACCACATGGCTGTCCCAGTATGGTTCCAGGCAGTGTAGTGGTAAGTTGTTTTTTCGTATGCGCACGTGCACGCTAGTGCGTATACCAGATGATATTACTGGATGTAAAAGTGGAAGTGTGTGGATCAAGAAATAAAAACTACAGAAAATAAACAAAAGGTTTTACAACACTTTTGCAGTGTTGTTTGTAGTTCTTGGCATAAAGTGTTATGTCTGGCACTATCCTGTTAACATAACTTCCTGCGATGAAGGGTCCCATACCTTAAGCATGCTATTTGTGGATTCATTTTCATGTCTCTCTGTGTTGGCAGAATCAATAAAATGTACCCAAAATTTACATCAAAATATGTAAGCTTTTTCACGTGTTCAGGGAAACATACCTCCGAATATTCAGGATATTCTCATTAAGTTTGGAAAGTTGATCAAAAATTTCCAATTCTGAAGGAGCTGTTTGAAAATACCTTGCTAAAACAGTGATACTCTTCAACCCTTATTACAAATCAGACAATACTTTAAGGGCCGATTCAATTTCCAATTCTGATCAAATCATGGCCAACAAGATTGTCAAGAAGCTTCCAGAGGCTGCCCTTGAGTCTCTTTTAATTGTTTTACCATCTGTTGTAATCCCAACTAATGTCTCAGATGACATGCTGATTGACTGACATGCTATTATCAAATCTTCCGAATTTTTAAGTTGTATTACTCCAATGAAAGCACAGAGGATCTTGCCTGAACATTCTTCCAGGGTATGTTGAACGATGACAAACTCATTATCTTCGTTTTGCTGCTAAATATTACCATCATTTTTAATAGCAACACAGACATACGTTGACAAGAGCAGCACAGTTTTCTTCATTTCTAATTCACCGACCATTTGCAGCATCTCGATTATATTGAACAGGATTTCTGTACCCTAGAACCGAGCAGAATCCCAGTCATTGATAGTGATCTGGGCCTGTACTGTGCTAAAACATCACTAATGATTATGCCACCCCCGGTCATGTGGTAGAATCTTTATACATGTCAACTGTAGAGCAACAGGGTGATTTACTACACATGTGCATATATTACTTTAGAAATTTCTTTGATATTATATTACAAATCTGTGGCGATTTGCTGGGTGCTGAGCTGGTGATAAGTCACAAGGCAAAAGTGATTTCAAATTTTGGATTGCAGACAAAAAAAGTTTAGGAACCACTGGTTTAGTGTCTCCACCCATGAATATCTGTCAGATTGTTGTTCCCATAACTGCACTATTTCTATTGTAGGCTGAGGGCCCTTTGATTCCAAAAGATTAATGAGGCATTCTGATTCTTCCTCACTTTTGCCATGAATAATACTGACCAAGGGAACAATCCCATTTCTAGTATATTTTGTACTTTCTCTCTTGTGCACAGTACCTAACAAGTTGTATGAGAGATGTAAGATGGTTTATGAGTTCCATTGATTTCTATGCCCTTTAAAGAATGTATATCTTTCCTGTAGTCAATGAATTCAATTTCTTGACTTTATACCAATCATCACATGGCTGTGACAACTTTGAAGGGTAGAAAATATGCACTTCCTTTGTCTCCAAGATTGTTGCATCTGTATCTCCTGATGAAACAGTTGTGCTTTTTCAAGAATTTGCTGTAGCCAGGGACAAATTTTGTTCATAAAATAGAAGCAGACTTATTCTTGGAAATGGTGTATTTTATTGAACACATTTCTGTGCTTTCTTCTATTAAGAATTTCCTTATTTGAATTAAATTTGAATTCTTTATAATATTATGGCTGATATCCAAAGATATAAGCAATAAAAAATAAAACAGAAAACCAACTTGCTGTGCAATAGTAACTTCCCAGTTCGATACTGCTATATGTTTTTATGTATTGAAATGATACTGCCATTATAGTACCGTGCACAACACAGACAAAACTGAACAAGTGTGAACTTGTAAGAAAAATCCAGCCTGGTAGCATGTGAGGTTTTCTTATATCTCACAGCATAAGGTTGAAGGCAAATCATTTACATTTCTTATTTGGAGGCATGAGGGGGCTCTGCATCATCCTTATTGAGGGGACCTACCTAACATACTGGGATTTTGAAGAAATGTCCTGGTACAAATAATAAAACACAAAAGATATTCTATTTTTCATGAAATCCTTGAAGTTTGGAACTTTATATATGTTTCTTGTTTGGCTTAAACAGTAAATTGAATTTATAAAACTTTGCTGGACCAACACAATCACAGAACACCAGACTGATGAGAATAGATTAAGTCAGCTGAATTTCCAGATGGCACAAAAGAAATGAAGAACTAATGATGATCACAAAGTAAATGAAGCTTCATAACTAGTGCTCTTTGCAAAATATTATTAAGATGACCAAATCAATGCTGATGTGAGTGGGGCATGTAGCATGCATTGGATTAGAAATTAGGAAGACATTACTTGAATAACACAACCATAGAACAACAACATTAAAATGGATCTTTAAAACCTGTGGTATGAGGATGTGACTGGATTCTTCTGACTCAGATACAAGACAAGTGGCAGGTATATATGAAAATGTAATGAAGCTTCAGGTTCCATAAGTCTGGAAATTTCTTAACCAGCTAACAGCTATTAGCTTGTCAAGAACTCTGCTCCATGCTGTTTGCTAGATTTAAATTACAGAAACAACAAATTTTATAAAATACTACACAGTAAAACAGAAATAGCCCAGCTGCAATCCTAAAAATTAGGTGTGAGGATAGTTCAGCACACGGTTTAAGATTGAAACAAATGGTTATGAATCATGGTATAAGCCATTCTTCTTACTTGACATGAGCTGTATACATTTAAATACATAATTTGATGACAAATATCTTACGAAACACAAACATCTCCAAAATGATTATAAAATATCTACCCAGAGGTAGAAGGTGTTTGGGAAGACTCTTGAAAATATGGAGAGACTCTGTTTTTGAAAAATGAGAACAGCAAACAATTAGTACTGAGAAGTATGATGCTCAGTACAGAAAACTACACACACTATGAAAACTTGGCACAACAGCATTCAAAGCAATATTTAGTACCCACGTGTAATAGCCACCCTCTGGGGATGTCCACCGTTGTATCCCAGCCCAAGGTGGAGTGTCCAACAAAACAACGTTTGTGGCGGTGTACTGGTATTCTCTGAAGCAGTTCTCTGGTGTTGGACCACTCCGGCCCCTTGCACCACAAGTAGTGATGGTGTACACTGCACAGCAAATTACATTTTATATTGCACATGAGTATTGATGAAAAGTTAATTTTTAAATAGCTAAATCATATATATTAATTCATAGCTCAAGCGGTTAGTTGCTGGCTTCCTACCATGGCGGTCCAGGTTCGATCCCGGGTCTGGTCAAGTGGGATTTGTGGTGGACAAAGTAGCGCTGGGGTAGGTTTTCTCCGAGTACTTCGGTTTCCCCTGCTGATCTCCATTCCATCAATTGCTCCACAATCAACCTCACCTATCATCTGGGGCTGGTACAATGGGCCAGAAGTGGCTGCAGTACAAGGGACTTAGTCCCACCCCACTAGCAATAAAAAAATAATATATATCAATTCATCTGTGGGAACCTCCCACAGTCAAACAGACAACTCCCAGAGTGTAGCAAGAGCAGGCGATATCTAGCTTGCAACCTGACCACAGCCAGGTACACAGCCTGATACAGGCACACAAGCATCACCCAACTAGCGATCACCGTAACATCTCCAATGTCCATCGGTTAGTGCGCCACCTAGCAGCAAAAGTATAAAGATGCGGCCTATGATACACTAATACCAGCACTCAAAGGATAAGACCATGTGATGTACAGAAATTAATAAATTCCTTGAAATTGAGAGAGGTCTGTGGAAATGATGGCATGACGAAAGAGTGCCTCAGGCACCTTCCAATAAATTCCTTGAAATTGATGGCATCCCAGATGACTGCCTCAGGCACCTTTCAAGGTGACCATTGCTTCACCTAACACATTTATTCAATCACTGTCTACAGCTCTCTCATTTTCCAAATCCTTGGAAGGAACCAAAGTAATAACTTTACCTAAACCCGGTAAAGACCCGAAATTCCCTCAAAATTTAAGTCCGATTAGCCTCCTGTCCCCAACAGGAAAACCATTCGAAAAAGTTATTCTGAAATTACTCCAAAAACATACTGAAAAAAGAGGCCTGCTCAACGCAAGCCCGTTTGGTTTCCGTGCATGTATTGCAATGTATGAGGCAGGTGGACCACGTGACCCTTAATATCAACAATAACATATCTACAGACGCGGTGTTCTTGGATATCAGAAAAGCCTTTTATACCACATGGCACTCAGGCTTGCTGTATTAGTTATAAAAATTGCAATTCTTGAACAGCTTATTGGGTCCTTTATCTCACAATGTAAACTCAGAATTTCGGTTGAAGGCGAAATGTCAACGCCAAGGGAAATGCAAGCAGGGGTGCCACAAGGTTCGTTCCTATCCCCTACTCTTTTCAATCTGTATATAAAGAATTCCCCACAAATATATATGGTGTTTGCCTGGCACTCTTTGCAGACGACACCTGTCTGTATGCGACAGATCGCAAGGAGAGTTTTATTGTCAGAAATCCCTAGCACGGTCTCAGCTCAATGGAGACCTTATGTGAGCGGTGGAATAAAACCAAATAATGAAGATTTGACTCAGGTGGTCTACTTCTCTTGTAGTCGGCGACCGCCTGAGCCTTTTCTTAGGCTAAATGGATGAAAAATTACATTTGTGAATAGTGCAAAATATCTAAGTGTAATCTCCGAAAAGAGAGTTATATGGAGAATGCAAATATAAATGATCGAAGCCAAGGCCTTCAGAATATCCATTAGAGTATATTCCCTATTGAAAAGTGAGCAATTGAGCGCTAATATTAAATTGACCCTCCACAAAGCTCTCATTAGATCTGAAATGACTTACGCTACTCCCGCCTGGGAGTTTGCGGCAGACACTCATCTAATGAAATTGCAGCACCTACAAAATAAGATTCTCTGCACCATTGGCAATCTTCCAAGATGCACAAGGGTTTGCGATTTGCACATGGCTTTCAAAATTCTGTACGTATATGATTGTATAAAAATTATGAAGACAACAAACAGAAGTCATATAAAATCATGATAATGAGAATGTTCGGAATACTGGACAAGGCGAAGCCCGACATAGAACAGTGGTCAGGTGACTGACAGAGGCCTTGTATATATTGTACATAAGAGTAGATACTAAGAGTCCATTTGTAAATAAGTGTACATAATGACAATGTACTTTATACTACCGACTATGACTGACAAATGACACACCCGACCTCTCGTTAGAGAGGACGCACCTCAAGGACAGTGTAGTAACTTTCATACAAGGAGAAACAAAGACAGACAGACTGACTGACTATCAGTCACAATGTGACTTTGACTTTGACTTGGCTAGCATCAGTCACAGCTATGCTTGCATCAGGAGAACACTGTAGTAGCCACTCTACTAGCATCAGCAACACAGCCGAAGCTGCCAGCACTCAACCAGACCATCAGCCAGCCGGTTTCGGCGCTACAGCATGAGCATCAACCGGCCCAACCGGCATCCTAGTACTGGCTATTCCGCCGCAACAAGAACATCGCTCGGCATCCAGCAGACGCACTTGGCTTCAAAAACAACCCTTTTAGGGGGCGCAATGCTACAGCCATTGCTTGTTCAGGCTGGCCCGCTACTGAAAGCATTTCGCTAGGCATCTCACCGGCTCACAATCGCCGTGCTGCTTGAAAGAAGAATACCGTCACTAGTTCAGGCAAGCCGGCTACAAAGGGAGTTTTTGCCAGTATTCTTCAGACATGCTCTGCTTCCCTGATCGTCTTTAATATCCATTCTAATGGAAATAAAACATTTGTTGTTTTTATGTGGTTGTTTCTCCTCGTTATTGAATTCGACATCCAACACATCCATTTGAAATCCTATCTAAAACACACGCATTTATTAGTTTCTCCATAAAAAGAACACACAATGGAAAGCTTTAGGAAGCCTCTGCACAGTTAAAAGTTCAAGACACTCACACTCAAGATATTGAACTTGTGAACAACCAAAGGAACAAAATTAATTTTCATTGCTTAATTTTCAAAAATACAGGCTGAGTAAGCAACCAACCAACAAACTCTCAGTTAACATAACCAGCATCTTCAATAACAATAATACCAAAACATATTGATCAAACAGCCAGTTTAATCCAGTCAACATCCTCACAAACTATTCTCCTAGGTTATGATTTAATATTTCCTTCCTATCTATATCTATCACCCAAAGGTTTCTTTCTACAAGGAATTTAATACTAAGGCAACGCTGTATGACTCTTACATGAGTTAACCTCTAGTACTCACCAGTCTTGTTAACGAAGTCTTGGTGTGCCTCTTTATCTGGTACATCTAATGTAGAAACAAAACATTTTGTTAGTGCAAAAATTGTCACTAAGGAGAGTATCATAAATGCAGTACTGGATCTATGTACTTACCTGTCTGGTAGCAGTATGTGCTGTTGTACACATAACCATCTGATACATTGGCAGGCACACCTGAAGATAGACAACACACTACCCTTATAATCAATTTATGATATCAGGTTTCCACAGAATTTCTTATGGGGTTCACTGCTGTGTGGTAGTGAAAAAGAATTTTCACCATTTTAGGGGAACACAGTCTTCATCTGCTGGGTATGAGCTATATGGAGGTGAAGAAAAGCATTTTTAAGGAAGACTTACTCAGATAACATAGCCACCAGCTATAATGAAGGTCTTCTCTTTCTGAAACCTTGTTTCCTGCTTCTCTATGCCTTAAAAGATTCCTACTTTTCAGTATAGAGTTGAACCCCTGGGTACCATTTCCTACATAAATTATTGCTAATATACGTGTATCCTCATGCTTTGTGTGCTTAGATGAAGGCAATATGCTCCTATGAAATATCAGAAACACATTCCGCATGACATGGTTGTGGTTATTTTTTGTGACCTAACTAAGGCATTTGACTGTGTCAATCATGAACTGCTTGTCCAAAAATTGAAACACTATAGAATAAAAGGATCTCTACTAAAAGTGCTTGAAACATACCTACATAACAGGAAGCAAAGAATCATTCTACAGACTCAAGACTCAACTACATATGTTTCTAAATGGAAAACTAGCAAACATGGATTTCCGCAGGGATCTGTACTGGCGCCTTTGTTGTTCAATGTATATATTAATGATCTGCCTAGAATTATAAATGGGTTGGCACATATGGTTCTATATGCTGACAACACCACTTTTATTGTCTCTTCACAGGATATTAGTAGCCTTAATAACAAAATAAATTTAGTTATGAGACATTTACATAGATGGCTCCAAGCTAACCAATTAATACTAAATTAGAAAAAACCCATGTAATGAAATTTATGACCCCTAAGGCCACGGACTATCCATTATAATAATAATAATGATAAATAATATAATGACAAACACTTAAATTTTCTGTAAATGTTAAGTTTTTAGGTGTGTGCCTGGACAATCATTTGGGCTGGGAAAAATACTCTGATGATGTGATAAATAAGTTGAGTGTTACAACCTTTGTGCCTAGAAAACTACAGCCTATAGTAAGTAGGCAAGTGTTGAAATGGCTTATTGTGCTTACTGTCAAGCTGAACTTAAATATGGTGTTATTTTCTGTGGCTCTTCTTCGTCATCAATGAAAAGAGTTTTTGTGGCTCAGAAAAGAGCAATTAGAGCAATGTTAATGATGAGGCCTAGAAGTTCTTGTAGAGAGGTTTTCAGAGAATTAGGGATACTTACAGTTCCCTGTTTATTTATAGAGAGCATGGTCATGTTGTAATTGAAAAAGAAAATAATTATCTTACAAATAATAGTGTACATAAAATTAACTCTTACAGTACAAAATAGACTACACGTCACGTCAGCTAGACTATCCGTTATACAAAAGGGAGTGTATTATACATCCATAACAATTTTTAATAATTTGTCACATAAATTATATATTATAAAGGATAATGTTAATTTATTTAAACAAAAACTGTGTAATGCCATAGAATTTTGGCAGGGGTTCTTGTAACTTGTAGGTATTAAGTTATCTTGGGTTCACAGTAAGGAAGTCAGATGAAGGGTTAATATTTGTAGTAGAATGGGGAAGTAGCAATGTCAGTAAGAAATTGTCACATTGCATAGACTGCTTATTCACGTGGAAGAGACGGCAAGCAGCTGTACGCCTAAGGCGTACAGAGTGCCGACTCAGCGAGACGGCCTGAGAAGATCCAACCCTCTTCACCATGATGACCAACGAGAGCCGGACCTTTGGGGGAGAATTCGCTCTCTTAAGGGGCGGAGCTTACCCCAAAGACATTAGTCAGCAAGGAAAAGTTATAAAGTTGCTAACACAACTTGAGAAGCTATCTTTCAGAATCCGCAACGATGAACCAATATTCTATCATTAAATCTTTTGATCAATCTATATCAACCAATTTATCTGAGTGCACAAATGTTAAGGGAGTAGCCAGCTAGAGCCATGGTCGTGCCAGACCAAGTGAGTGGACACCATCAGCTTTCTACACCAAGTAAGTCGAGCTATTCATATCAGTCATGGACATACAGTGTGATATTATTAAAGTGTCATGTTACAGGGTTAGGGCAGAGAGCGTAGGCCCTGAGTGGGGACGTAGGAATTACCTCGAGATCTAAGGATGGTGAACCCAAGGGTAGTTTCCTCTAAATTACAATGTGTACGTAACCGGCCAGAGCCGACCATGAAAGTGATATGTATATAAGTGTATATATTAGTAGATAAATGTAGACCAAGTAAGGGGGATGCGAGTGTTAATGACTTACCCCACAGTCACACCCTCTATGTCCCCGATCTCCCATACATCTCCTGTTAGAGATACTGTGAACTCACAGTCAAGAGGTAGCTAACGAGACAAGTACCAAGTGCTTAGCCTTGCGAGTGGCCATTGCCCAAGGGCGCAAGAGGTGGAGAGATTCCTCCACGCCCCCTGTCACCAAGGCATAACAAACTGAAAGACTTTCTTATCTTGAAAGCTTTCTATTCTATTGATGAATATATGGCAAATACCTAATTGTATTATATTCCTATCGTATCTAAGTTGTGTCTATTTGGACTTGGTTGCATATCGCTACTACTTTTAATTAATCTGATGAGCTCAATATCCGGCCCAACATGGGCAACGGATCTGTGAAGCTATGTATGTATGTATCATAAAGCAGAAGAAATTACTGGAAAGAACAGAAATCAATTTTCCTCCTCTGTGCACTGCCACTACCACCACAACTAAAAGCAGCAGCAGTAGTAGCAGTAATAGCAGTAGCAGCAGCAGTAGTAGTAGTAGTACAGGAGTAGTAAAAGTCACTGAACAACATTCTTATACATGAAATCATCTGAATTCATAATACTGTAACGTTGTACTGCAGAGTCCTGTTGCACAGCAAAATAAGAAGTCATAACATTGTACTCTAATAATAGCTTGACAGTCCTAGTGGCAGGGGGTATATTTATCTAATAGGCCCCAACAAAGTAGATTCTTTTAATTCTGATCTTAATAAGGGGACAGAGAGAGCTTCTGAAATATTGTTTATGCAAACAACAGTATGGAAATAAAATACTCTCATTTTTGTGTTCCAGGGAATTCATTGACTATCTGAACGGCCACTCTCATTTCATGAAGTACTTTGCAAAATAGAGCTAGGTGGTTACTTATTATAAAAGTTAAACCTCTGACACAAAAGCAATATATGTCAGCTTACCTAAGCCAAAACACTCGGGGCTCATGGAAAGGTCGTCCAAACTCATGTAGCCCCATTTGTATCCCTTCACAGCATGGAATTGCAAGGAATATCTGTAAACAAGCAAACATAATGTTGAAGCAGCCCAAGACACGTTTGGAGTGCCCAACCCATGCATAACAAACAGTTACCTAGACAAAACAACTCTGTCCAATGTGACTATTTAAGTTTTACTACTTGAAAAGTTAGCACCCTTACATGTTTCGATCCATATGGATCACACTGGACGGAGTTGTTTTCTCTTTGTAATTGTTAGTGTGATGGACCAGAATGAAACAAATCAAAAACAGTTACCTGTTTGTGACATTTGGCAGTATGTTAACTGATCTGATCCAGTTGTGTCCTTTGCTTCCAAAGAACCAGAATAGCTTCGAGGTCTTGTTATGTCGTGGATGTATTTCGATGAGCCTCAACTCCAAACCTGCACTGTGCATGCCATATGGGAAGTAGTAGAACCGGAACTGCATCACAATTCAAATTGCACATAAATTTATGGGACAGTGATAATTATGCTTATCATCTTCCTTAATTATTAATAATATGACCTTTGCACATAATAAAAATTTACATGTTTCTTTGGTTCCTAACAGTATTCCACCATGTGCAAATATATACAGTACACTGAAGTTGGAACTGAGTTCTTAAATGTTAGAGAGAATTTTGAGGTACAAATTTTTTAATCTCCTTCAAGTTTCATCTAGTAATGGATTGGAAGATGAAAATAAAATAAATTTTAAAGAAAATACTTCAATTTTAAAATAAAAAATTTATGAAGGCTACTAGAAAAGCAACTTTTGCAAATCTAAATACCACATAATAGTTTGTAAATTACTGACAGGATTTATGTAAAATGAAATTATAATATACCAAATTGTGTATGGGCATTAATGACAAGAATAGCTGTGTTTGCTTACAGCAAGCCAACATGAGTCAGCCTTGTACACCCTTGAAATAAGATTAAATATTTTTTAAATATCACCATTTTGTATGTCCCTAAAATATGGAAAATTGGAAAACAGCTGCTGCAAGCATATTCTGTAGTCCATTACTGTAGGGGAATTCTATTTCTGAAGCTAATGTACAAGTAACTTAGAATGTTCCTGGGCCCTCTTCAAACTCACCATGCAGCTGTTGCTGTACAGCAAATTATTTCCACTGTGGTAGCAGGGTGGGGGGTGGAATATTGGACTCTCCAGGACAGGGCCTTCACCCATATCTTTAGCTGACACGGTGACATGCAAATACACACCTGCAAACGACCAAAGTGTCTGAATCACAGCAGTCTTTCACAAGAAATCCAGAACGATACAAAAGATGTAAGCATGGGTATTGGCAAGGAAGGACAACCCTCGATATCACCCCCGATCCCCAAAATATTTTGAAAAAGGAAACAGAATGAGTTACAGAATATATTACAATTTTTTTTCTAAATGGGTCTCATAGATACCTGCAGCTCTAATGCAGTCTCACTTGTCCTTAAATTAATCTTTGTCTTCCCAGTAGTCAATTATTCAACAGCATAATTTTTTAAGCTTGCAAAAATATCATACTGTCATCTATGAACAGCAGAAGTCCATATACCGCTGTATGCTTAATATAACCATTTTTTTATATTTTTCTACCTTCCCATGTTGAAGGTAGTTGGAGATGCAGGCATAAACACAAGGGGAACTATATTTTATAAGTCAGTGCAAATTTTGGCATTTGCAGATGATATTGATATAATTGGTAGAACACAAAAATCTATGAAAAAAGCTTTTCTTAATTTGGAAAGAACAGCACAAAAGATGAATCTACAAATTAACCAAAATAAAACAAACTACAGGGTGATTCAGAAAGATGGATACAATTTCAATTGGCTATATTTCCTGAATTATATGTTGCATTTGAATTCTGTAAATTTCATTTGATTATACATACATGGAAGTTTATAGATGTTCAATGTGCCCCCTTCCCGCTGCACGGATAACATCTAGACGGTAGCTGAATTCATCCCACACTCGATGACAAATATCTTGCATCACTGAGTTCACCGCAGCTGTGATACGATTTCTTAGGTCATGCAAATTTGTGGGAAGAGGTGGTACGTAAACTGCATCTTTCACGAATCCCCACAGGAAAAAGTCGCAGGGTGTGAGATCAGGAGACCTCGGTGGCCAGAACTGAAGTGCCAGGTCTTCAGTCCCCATGTGACCTATCCATCGATGAGGTAGATATTCATTCAGGAAACGTCGAACATTCAGGTGCCAAAGGTGCTGGAAAATGTAATCTCCTGAATCTTCATTCATTTGAAGATCAAGTCAGTTTTGCAGCATTCTAAGATATGTTACTCCAGTAACGGTGTTTTCATCAAAAAAGAAAGGTCCATAAACCTTTGTTAACGATATTGCACGATATTGCAACTTTTGGGCTGCCCCTCACATGTTCGAGTGTTACACGGGGATTTTGTAGCCCCTATATGCGAACATTGTGCCTGTTAACTTTCCCATTAGGTGAAACGTAGCTTCATCACTAAAAATTACACGAGGCAGAAACAATTTATCTTCCATGTTTTTGAGCTGTAATGCCGTAGAATTTCGGCATTGGTTTTGGTAACTTTTAGGTATTAAGTTATCTTGGGTTCACCATAACAGAAGTTAGCCGAAGGGTTAATGTTTGAAGTAAAAATGCGGAAGAGCGACGTCAGCAGAAAATTGTCACATAGCAGAGACCGCTGATCCATGCGGAACAACCAGAGACGGCCAAGGCATACGGAGTGTCAACTCAGCGAGACGACCTGAGGAAATCCAACCCTCTTTACCAAGCTGACCAAAGAGAGACGGACTTGGGGGAGAATTCGTGCTAGTGCAGGGGCGGAGCTTACCCCAAAAAGACAGGAGTCAGCAGGGAGAAAGTTATAAAGAAGCTGACACAACTGGAGGAGCTATCTTTGGGGATCACTTCTCTTGATCACATCTTTTGATCACCGATTGAATATCCATGCAATCTGTCAATCTATCTGAGTGTATAATGTCGAGTGAATAGCGAACCAGAGGCCAGAGGACCTGAGTCACGGTCGTGCCAGACCAAGTGAGGGGGCACCATCAGCTCTTACACCAAGTAAGTCGAACTGTTCATACAAGTCATGGATATCTAGTGTGATATTATTAAAGTGACATGTGCAGGGTTAGGACAGAGAGGGAGTAGGCCCTGAAAGGGGGAACGTAGGATGGTGAACCCAAGAGTATCGTTATTCAAATTACAATGTGTACATAACCGACGACTGTCGGCTATGAAAGTGTGATGTACATAAGTGTATATAGAGTAGACGAGTAGACCGAGTGAAGGGGATGTGTGGTGTTAATGACTTACTACCAATCACACCCTCTATTTCCCCGTTCTCCCGTACCTCCCTGTGTTATCGGGACTATGAACTCACAGCCAAGAGGTAGTGAACAAGTCAAGTACCAAGTGCTTAGCCTTGCAACTGGCCATTCCCCAAGGGTGCAACGGCATGGATGGCGGAAGAGGTGGAGAGATTCCTCCACTCCCCCCTTACGTCATAACAGATTGTGACAGCGGTGGGATACCTCCACGCCCCCTGTCACCACGGTGTAACATGAGCATACGGTCACAAAGTTCTACATGCTTTACCTTATCGTTTGCGAGAAGAGCCTGTACCAGTTGTAGGTGGTATGGTTTGTACACTAACTGGCGCCTCAATACACGCCAGACAGTTGTTTGTGATAGCCCAAGTTCTCTACTAGCACTACGGGTTGACTTCATTGGGCTACGCTCAAAGCTCACTGGAATACGCTCCACGTTCTTCTCCGATACACCCGATACACGCGATCGGCCGGGGCTTTCACCCTTACACAGAGAGCCAGTTTCATCAATTGTTTATTCCAACATTAAAGGTTCTTCCTCGATGGAAGTTGGATGTTAAACTTATGACGAAATGCACGCTGCACCGCAGTCGCAGACTCGCTTTTACTGAACTCATGAATGCAAGAAATCTTGTGCTGCATAGTAGCCATCTCGCTTACAACTGACACAGTGCTGGAGTGCTCTAGTGGTAGTACTAGAAACTGTACAACATCCTCTTTCAAATGTATTTTACAGAATTCAAATGCAACATATACTCGTAGTTCAGGAAATATAGCTAATTGAAATTGTGTCCATCTTTCTGAATCATGCTGTACATTCCAGTAACCAAGAAAGACTGTGCTAATGGACCTGCATATATTGAAATTGGCTGACATAAATTTGAGGCTGTATGTAGTTTCACTTACCTTGGATCAGAAGTTAACTGTAAAAATTATATCAGTGATGAAATAAAAAAGCGTGTACTTGCGGCAAATAAATGTCTCCATGGCCTTAGGAAACACCTGAAATCCCAATTAATACCCAGGAAAACCAAACTATGATGTATAAAGTATTTATAAGATCAGTGCTATCTTATGCCTCTGAGACCCGGCCACTTTCAAGATCGGATGAAAAACTGTTAACTATAGTTGAAAGGGGGATCTTGAGATATATTTTTGGGCCAGTGGAAGAAAATGGAATATGGAGGAAGAGGTATAACCATGAGCTATACAAACTCTTTAATGAACCAGACATTATTGGATTTATAAAGGTGAAAAGGCTTGAATGGGCTGGACACATAATACAGGCCCGCGAGAATAGAACCACCAAGAAAATGCTTAATACTAAACCAAAGGGAATAGGAGAGTGGAAGACCAAGATTAAGATGAGAAGAATGTGTGTGGCAGGACATAAGAATTTTTGGTGTAAAGAATTGGAGGAATGTAGCATCAAATGGAGAAGAATGGCGAGCAATCCTGAGGAAGGCCAGGGCTCACAAAGGGCTGTCGTGTCAGTGATGATGATGATGATGATGACCTTCCCATGTTAAATGTATCCCTTATGAAATATCACAAAGACCTTGCTCCTGGATGCATTTGTTGGCAAAACCTAAGCGGTGGAAAACACAAATGAATTCGGAACTTGTATGTGTAAGGTCACCTTTGATGAAATAAATATCAAGAGAATTGGCAAAGCATAATTTAGATGTAGAGGGTGTACAGAAGGTCTGATGCAATAAAGATGACATTGAATTCGCTAAGGTAATAAATTTTTCTATGATAAGGCTGACCAGTTTCAGGATGAGATGGGAGATCATGCAGAATACAAGAAGAGTTTTGAAATGCATATAAAACTTTAGTCAGAATACCTGAAGGGAATTGAATGCTTTGGGAGACAGTTATAAATGCAAGATTAAAATGTATAGGATTCCTAAAGAAAGAGGTCATACCAGGACCAACCACTTTAGGATAGGGTGTACTGGCATGCCTCTGTGAACATGGTAATGAATTTTAGGTTCAGTGAATGACAGAGTTTCTAAGCTACTTGAGTGACCCTTAATTTCTAAAAGTGGACTCAGTTCTATGAAATTAGATCCTTGGGTTCTACCATCAGATCTTGCCTAATTTACTGGCTTTAGAATTTATCCCACTGTATCAGTATTTTACTACTATCTTGAAATTTCATCTCTCTTGCTTTGTAATCTACATATTTCTCTGGCAATACCAAAGATATAATATAAATAAGATAAAATATAAATCTAGGAAAAGACTATGCTTAACAAAGACCTCTGTTTTGCACTGCCTACAACAGTTCAAGGAGGCAAAATGATGATTATCCCTCATGATATATGTTGTGTGGCAATCATGCATCACCACCCTGCTGCATACTGGAAACATCAACCGAACATCATCCAGATATTGTAAAGACTTCTGCTTTAAATTTCACATTTCCTTCTATACAAGTCAGCTTGTGGTCTGCACAATGGACTATATCAGTTATGTTCTGAAATACACCAAAAGCTTTTTTTATTGTTTGTTTTATTTGTACTATTTCAGGCTCACCACAATAGACACTCAGCATATTTATGCTTGTTGCATGCAGAATCTCACTGTTACTGGGCCTGCCATTGGAGATTCTCAAGTGATGGTCCTGTCATATTTGATGGTTGCAGTACTCCAAGCTTCAAGGCAAATATGTACACTAATCCAGTGCTTGGTCACCTTGGCAGTATAAATTCATGGTTGTTAACATGATGTTGTCTGTTCAATACACTGCAGATATAGGTGAGTCATGTCTAAATATTGTTCCAAGAGCCTACTACGTGGTATATTTTGACTGTGTAGTTAGTTTCTAAATATTCATATATTAACACTTTTATGCGATGTAAAAAGTAATTCATTTTCT